CCGAGGGTTCGGATCCCACATACAGACTGGTTCCCGCTCACTGGCTGAGCGAGGTGCGGGAGCAACACCGAGGGTTGCAATCCCATTGCCGGTCCCCGGTCCGGTACGGGGGCGACACTGAGGGTTGCAATCCGTTGCCGGACACGGAAAAAGACAAAAGACAAAAAAAAAAAAAGTATTTTTTTTCCTTAACAGTTATTTTAACTTCTTGGTTTTATTTATTTAATTAATTTATTTTTTATTGAATCATAATTGATTATACATATTTTTTTGATTCGATGTTGAGATATGTTGGTCAAATCAATATTGCTAGTATGTATATTGTTACAAATTGTACTTCTTTATGCTCTACTTGTTTGTTTTTAACTTGATTTGTACATTTATGTACAAAAAAATGCCATTTAGTTTTGTGGCGGTGGTGGTTCTGTAAGTATTTTCTTCTATTATTTTCATCTTCTACTTTAATATACTTGTTTTAAATTCACCTTAACAATTTACCTCTCATTTTATTTTACTTCATCTACTCCCCTTCTCTCCTATCTCATTATATTTAATTTGCTTTAGCGGTTGGCAGAAGGCCTACCTGTAGGTGTGGGAGCTGGGAGAAGATAAACATCAACAAAGGATTAAATGGCAAGTATATACAAGGAGCTCCTATAAATCTACGATAAAAAACAATCCCCGGTAGAAAAGAATGGGAAAGAGAACAGGCACTTTATAGAAGCAGACCCAGAAGTCTACCAAGCCAAAGAAGAGATGCTTAAACACGGTCATCAGAAAAGCACAACTAAAGCAACCGTTAGATTAGCAAAAATTGGAAGGGTGGGTAGTGGAAGTGCAAGCTGAGATATGGAGGCCTCCACGCAGCTGGTGTGGCCGGAGAGCCACCAGGCAGTGCCCATGAGGTGAGGTGTGTGCATGCCCCATGGCTCAGCAATTCCGCTCTGGGTGTATGTTCCCAACGACACTCTCACCCGGCTCCACAGGAGACGTGTATGAGGGTGTTCCCCAGTGGGCTGGGGTGGGGGTGGGGAGTAACATCACCCATCCGTGGGGGGTTGCAGGGGAAATGCGGTGGGCAATGCTATGCAGAACCAAAGAGCCGTTTCTAGACACAGACGATACATAACATAGACCTTCAAAACAGCTGAATGAAAAAAGTAAACGGGATGGGGCTGTTTACACAAACTAAAAATGCATGCGCACAGAAAACAATACAAGGGTTGCAAAAACGTGTACAACCAAGAAGATGCACGTTAAAAGTGAGAGTAGGATGTGAGGAAGGGCGATAAAAGAAAATTAGAAACGAAGTAAAACAAGGTGAAAGAAGGAGCCTCATGTTTATTTGGAAGAAGCCTGGATTTTAGGACATTTATCCCTTCTTATTTAAGGTTTTAGACGTGTGCTGGTGGCCCCATGGAGGCGGAGGTTGTGGGATTGCCTTCCCAGCTCATGTCCTGCAGGAATCACTGCTACCCTGGAAGGAATGACCCAGTGAGCAACATGTTGCTTACGTTCCCTGTCACAGCACATTTTACCAGATATGTGATCTCCTGATGCCCTTTTAACTCACATTTATTCTCCATACCCCATGGTAGAGTTAGTTTTCACTGGTAATTTGAAAGCCAGCAGCAGGGCTTGTCCGATCACCGAGGAGGGAAAGGCACGCGTCCCCGTTATCCTTTTCAGTAGAGGCAAATGAACTCGCTCGAAAGCCCTCCCCAAATTCATGAAGAAACAGAGAGATGGTAGTAGCTCACGGGGTTTATCTGGGCAAAGCTTCTCCATGTTTCCAAGAAAGGAACCAGTAGGACAAATTACATCATTTTAAGTCCTTCCTGCTGAGCTGAGCAGCATCCTTACAATGGGATGTATGCTCCTGAGAGCAGCTCCATCTCCTAGACTTACCAGGCCCAGGGAGATGGAAACATGGGGCTTCAGTCACGTCCCCCTCGCCCTTGCCTGGGATAATGGCTAAATTGCGCATATTGGCAACTGCTTCCAGACTAGTTACCCCAGCGGGTATAAACTACCCAAATATTATCACAAGTTGAACAATACCACCCTCAATCTTCGTTGTAAGGTTCCTGGAATTTATGATGCAAAGAGCAATGGACAGCCAGTCAGTAGCTCATGTTATTTTAGTAAAGCAATGTAAATTCTTGGCAAACAACTTTGGAACTGCTCCCTAACTTCTCCCTTTCTCCTTTAAAAAATGTATTTGTAACTGCTTCTGGATGGAGCACATTTTCAAGGCAACTTGAATTTGTGTTTTCCCAAGCGACAGTCCCAAACCTTGGCCTGAATAAACTTTGCTTTAAATTTTTGTCTCAGTTTCTTCTTTTAGGTCTATACTCTCAACCGACAGGGACTCTTGTACCTCTATTTAGCTGTTGGCACTTTTGCCCTTGGAACTGGCCTGGATCGTTTTGATCCAGATTTGGCTAGATCTGGTAAAGAGAACTGGATATGCCAAGGCTTTGAAAATCCTGTGGTGAGTTTTTATCATTGGAGGAGTGTGTAAACTTGAGCTGTGTTTGCCCCTAGATGTGGCTCCCTCTCTCCTTAACATTGGCTTGCTGGTGATTTAGAACCAGTTTAATTAGCACTGGTGTCTGGTTTTCCAAGGAATGCCTTGCAGGGGGGTAGAAATCTGGGCGAGTTTAGTGAGGCAACATGCAAATTGGAGGAGGCCACCAGGGAACTTATTAAATTTAAGTCTCACTCTCAACTTTTCATTGCTTGAGAAGGGTATTCTGAATCATCCTGGGTGTTCCTGACTTCAGCTGCAGACTCATAAGGAGGGCAGATTCTGGGACGGTTACCTGTCCCAGTGATGAGTGGGGTCATGGAAACCCAGCTTCAAGGGAGACAAGGTAGGTTTCCTGTTTCCAGATTAATAAACCAAGGTCAGCCGCCTGAACTGTGACGTTGCCTGGCCCAGTTCTGAGTGGGCCCAGATAGTGTAAAGTTTTTACGTGTGACTTTTACCAATTGATTAGTCCAGCCAGAATTAGGATTAAAGGGCCCTTCACCCCCCACAACCTCTTCTGACTGCTCTCCTGGCTCATGCTCAGATGGGATTCTGACAGTTTTTGGGTGTGAGAATAATTGCTGCAGGCCACGACTGGATGTCACCTGAGTGGTAGGGACAAGGGCACTGATATCCCAGTCCGAAGACCTGGATTAAAAAAAGAAAAGCAAAACAAAAAACCTTAATGAGGTATAATTTACATACGGTATTTACACTCATTTTAATTGGATAGTCAGTGAATTTTGACAAGTCAATATACCACGGTGACCACCAAAATCAAATATAGTACATCTTCATCCAAGAAGTTCCCTCATGATCTTTTGTAGGCAGCACCCTCCCCCCAGCCCTGGGCTCAGGCATCACTATCCTGCTTTCTGTCATAATTTTGCCTTTTCTGGAATTTCATATAAATGGAATCATTCACAAAATATTCTTTTG